AAACAGATGAATGAAGAGTGTTTTCAAGTTCCCCCTTTTTCACTCTGACAGTTAAAGACAGCATTTGTTCAAGGCTTACATACAACACACAAACAAAGGCAAAAACATCCTTACCCACCGTTTGTCCTTCAGCAGGTGATAACTGGGGACGGTTGCATCGATTTGATCATCATGTAATCATGAATGAAGCTCAAACAGAATTATTCCCTTCTTCCTGTTCCTTTATTCAACACGAGCTGTGCGTGGTTCTGGTTGAACTGTGGAGTGAAATGTGAGACTTGTACGTTGAAAAAAGGGTGAAATTAAATAAAACGGCTTCACTTTTCTGTCATTTGTCATTACGATGTGTACAAATGAACAGTGAACTGAATAAACTGAGCTGATTTTTATTGTACTGTATGAGATTTACGGCTACAAACCTTTGCGTTTGTCCATCCGTAAACTGATTCCTGTGCTTTCAGATCCGCCTCAATATGCTTCTGAACCTGGCTGGAGTTGTTTATGCCTTCACAAACATTGGGTTGTACATCATCTACACAACAGAATACCTTTGGTGGTCTTGTGGACGCACTGATTCGTTACCCACAAATTCAACAAAGCTTCCTTATGAGATTCAGCTGTTAATGACCTGCACCATGGGCAAAGAGATGTATCTGGTGAGTGCATGAAAGACTGTAATTTATTTGCCTTGCTCAGGGGCATAGAGTCAGGCGAATGAGGGTGGAGGCAGATATGGGTGCTTCACCTATGTCCAGGGATTTGAACCTGTGACCTCTCCATCTCAGGCTCTGTGCCACCACTCCCTACCATAGGTGCAAGATGATTGACTTTATTCCTCAAAGACCAACTTAAACCTGGACATGTGTGAATTTTGTTCATTATGGGTTCACTGAAAGCACCACGAGTCTTTCAATGATCAGGTTTAATCGTAATGCATCTGTAGTTTAAACATGTATCATGAACGTAACGCAGTACAAAAGTAACTCTTTTAAATATTTTTCATCAGACACTCGCCAAAGGCATCATGTACATGCTAAGCGGCCTGTCTGGTCTACAGATCCAACACGCCTTCGTGGTCATCATCGCTGGGCTCAGGACCCTGTGGAGGTCTGAGATGATACTAAAGGTAGATTTAATCAATTACACCTGTTTTTTTTTGTTGTTTTTTTTTTGTTTTTTACTGAGGACATGTTGGTCGAACACACGCAGTGGTTTTAAATATTCACATGAATGTGTTCGGACTTAAATGACAGCCAAAAACAGGGCAGAACAAGAACAGGGTAACAGTGGTGAGATATACAGAAGGAGGGGGTTCTACTGCATATCTTGCATTTTCTACTTGATGGGTTCAAGGCGGGGGTGAGATTACATCCAGGGGTCTCAGTCTCCTGGTTTGCAGTGATGGACAGGTTGACAGATGAGGTCAGGCAATTGTCCTCAAGGATTATGATATTTGCACAAGACATTTGTAGTGAGACTATAGGGAGGAGGTGGAAGAGAGCCCGGAGAGGTGGGGGTCTGCTCTGGAGTGAAGAGGAATGAAAGACCTGTTGTTGTTATTTATGGTTTGGGGATTGAGGTCTCAACAAAAAGACGCGTTTTCAACACCTATTTTCTGATTTTCTCATCTGTTTTTCTTTCTTCACAGAGCCCCGATGAACCAGAACAACACCGACCTGTCAATCCTTCCCTCACAGAAGTCACCACTTCTGTTGAACAACCTGCGGTTATCTTTGTGCTACCAAAGCCAAATCAGTGTGAACACGTGAAAGAGTTAAATAATGCCACTTAGAGGCAGATGTGTCTTAACTTGGGTTTAGTGAATCAGTGATTCCTGTTGACGGGACCTGTAGTTAATCCCTTTTACAGGACTGGGACCGTGTGCTGTTAATGATTTACCATACTTTTTGCTGTATAAGTCGTACCTTCTTGCATAAATTAGCATGCCCCGTGACTTATACAGCGAAGCTACTTATTTGTGGGTTTTCCCCATATTTATAACCAATTTTTGGCTGAAATCTGACAATTTCATTCATTCTGACATGGAAAATATTGAACACTACCATTTTCAGCAGCTAGAGTGCACTCGATGAATGTGGCAAGCCAAGTGTCTCCTTAATAGGTAAAAGTGGCTATTAATGAGCAACTTGGCTTGCCATACCAAGCCACCTTCGTCAAACGTCAAATACCGCCCAGGTGAAATGCAGCTGATTCGACCATTAAAGTGTATTTATTAAGGAAAAGTTCAACTGAGACACAACTTTGCTACAATTTAGAGCAAACAAATAATTGTTTTTAAGTGTCAGTCTTGTTAAATTCCTCCCGTGCACGCTTCCATGGCCGCCATTTGGCAGCCAGTCGATTTTTGACACACCAGCCCACATTTCCAGGTGGTCAGCAGTGACGCGTAATAGATGTGACTTAAGCGAAGCGACATATTTATGTTTGTTTCCACTTTATTTGTCATATTTGGACTGATACAGCAGTGTGGCATGTACGGCGGAAAGTACGGTATTTGAAGTCTGACCTAAAAAACAAAATGCACATCTTTCTTTGGCCATGTTGGTTTGTTGGTTTCCAATGATTCACTTTTGATTAAAACAAAGGAGAATTATGACTAATGATGTATTGTTGAATAAAATTATTCTTATTTGTCATTTTATGAAAAGATGCCTTGTTAAAATATTAAAAGCATAAACCAATCTCCCTATTTCCATTTTATACTTCAAATGAGGCTGATTCCTTTGAGTGACACATATATTCTGGTAATTAAGTCAAATAAATATTTTCAAGCATGGAACAAAGCTTTTGTATTTGTTATAACAGTCTTTTGGTGAAATGATTGGTAAAGAAAGCCTGCACATTTATAATTGTATTTATTCAAATCAAATGTTCTGACTTTAATTATCTGACATTCTGAGATAGGCAGATACAAACCACTTCCTAAAAAATAACTTTATTTTTCTCTGATGTGTTTTTGCACCTGAACATTCTGGGCTGTAGCCCTGGATGTGCTTTCAGTCTCCAGGAAAGCTCAAAATGCAGCTCTAGTTGCTCTAGAATTTACAGAAACCAAATTGAGAATGGTTTGAGACGCATGCAACGACTCTGAGACAGTTTTGAGAAAAACTAATATTTGGAACGTGTTCAAATTTTCAGCATCCAGACTGCGGTTCTGTACAACGCATGCAACGAGGAAGAGAACCGTTCGAGACGTTTTGGCGACTGCTGGTCACCAACTCTGACGTGCTACTTTAAACAAGCTTTCTAAATCAGTGAGTCAAAAATGTTGGGAATTACTTTTATTCTAACAATAGGTTCAGAAGGTAAAGAAAGGGAATAAAAAAAAAAAAAGAAACATCGCCATTTAATGTTGAACTGAGCTCAGACTCGGGTTAGGGTTTCGTGGATTTCGGCGGGACTTTCTACATCCACCATTCTGCACTGAAATACCTGTTCTGATTGTGCAGCTGGTTCTGAATCACTGCTTCGTTGTGTAAGTCAGTGAGCAGAGGAAAAACAAACGTGACGGAGTTTGATCACTTTATTGTAAAGATTAGGAGATGCAAGCTGTAAGAAATCAGTCTGAAAGCAAGAACGCCCTTCGTTGTAGAAAAGACAAACAAAAATCAGTTTTGTTGTCGAGCCGTTGTGATTTTTTTTTGTCTGATAAATGTTGCAGTTCTGTTGAAGTGACGACAAAGACCCGTTTCTTACTGGTGCATGAATAGTTTGACTGGACTGGTTTTAAGCCCGCAGGATGCTCAGGAGGTCGTTCCTCAGTAACGGTTGTTGGATCTCAGCATCTTTGATTCTCTGCAGAAACACGATAAAAGTTATTTTCATGCAAAACCTCAACAAACATGCAGGTTAGACACAACCCTGACACGTTTTAGCTTTAAACGAAGCAAATAAACGAGTGAAGCAGCAGCAAACTAATTTTTGATTGTGTTTTTTGTGCGTTCATACTTCCTCCTTCTCCGTGTACCGGAACGACATGATGCCAAGAACTGCGAGACTGACGGAGACCCAGACCTGGAGGGCGGCCATGACGATCAGAGTAATGTCCATGCCCGTCAACATTTTCTGACAGATCGGAAAAGAGTACAAGTCCGTGTGACTTCAGATTTCAGAAATCCTCCAAATTCAAGCCCTCATATGTATTTATAACGATACATATGTATATAAAGAGTTATATTTCCAGTAGTGACCGTTGCAGATGAAAGTATTGGAAAATATTAAAAGTCGGAGCAGAGCGGCGCACTGACCTGAGCAGAGTAAGCAACAAACATGCAGTTGTCCGTGTTTTCACAATCCCATTGGAAGGAGGATTCGTTCACGTCTACAGCGTACAGCACGCAGGCGATGATGCCAAAGACGGAGCCAACAACGTTCATGAACACGACAAAGCACATCTGGAAGGAAAGACCTGCTTATTCTTTGTCCCACCGTGAAGAAAGTTTGGGGTTAGATTCTGTCCTTACTTACGAAGCACCGAGAGCCACAACAAACTGGAAGACATGACACAACTCCAACAGCAATGATCTGACAAGAGAAATTAAAATACAATTTTTAGCGTCTACATTTGTATTCTTACTCCTCAGGTGTTGCTCTACGGAGTCCTGGGTGAACTAGGCTGATCTCTGATGATCTGAAGAGAGTTCTCACTGGTAATAAGTATAGTTTAGGCGGAGATAAAGATTTTAGGTGACATCTCTGACACAATAACACGTATTGTTAATCTGACACTTCGGTGGTAATCTCACGTTTTTTTAGAGACCAAGAATACACACAGCCATTTTGAGTCATTTCCAACAGGAAACGGATAAAAAATAATTATTTAACTCTTTATAATGAAGAGATTAAATGTTCAATGCATCAAACAGTCAATAAAACTCTGATGAAATATTTTCCTGAGGCTTTGACTCCACAACTATCGATCTTAAACCAACTGTTGTGTTTCGAGGACACCGGCACCAGCTAACCCTAACCAGCTGAAATTAGTTGTCTTTGTTGGACTGAAGGTGGCCGGGCTCAGTCTTTGAGGAGCTCCATCCTCCGGAGGAGTCCAGAGTGGAGCCGCTGCTCCTCATCAGCAAAAGGAGCCCGAAGACGTGAGTCAGGTGGCTGAGTAGGATGGGGCCTCCCTTGGAGGGTTCTGGGGCGTGTCCCACTGGGAGGAGAACCTGGGGCAGACCCAGAACTCTTCATGACCCAACCAGACGTACATGGGGAGAAATGGGTGGATGGATGATGGATGAACGATAAATGGATGAACGATAAATGGATGAATGTATGAATGGAGGGATGGATGGATGGATGAATGGATGATGGATGGATGAATGGATGATGGATGGATGGATAGAAGATTAGATGGATGAATGAATGAATGCATGAATGGATAAATGGATGGTGGATGGATGTATGGATGAATGATTGAAAGAAAAAATGAATGGATGGATGAATGGATAATAGGATGAATTGAAAAATGAATGGATCGGTGAATGGATGGATGAATGAATGAATGTATGAAGAGATAAATGAATGAACAAACTAATGAATGAATGGATGATGGATGGCTGGATGGATGGATGATTGGATGGATTATGTATGAAAGAATAGATGAATGAATGAACAAATTAATGAATGGATGGATGAATGGATAAATGAATGATGGATGGCTGGATGATTAGATGGATGGATGGATGGATGAATTAATAGATGAATGAACAGAGTAATGAATGAATGATGGATGGCTGGATGATTAGATGGATGGATGAATGGCTGGATGAATTAATGGATGAATGAACAGATGAATAAAGTGGTTTACGGAGGCGGCCATGTTGTAAATTTAGGTCTGTGTTACACGTTGAAGATGCAGCTGAGAAGCACAAACACGTAACTTAATCTCTAAGTGGTAGAACCCTGAAGTTACACGTTAATTTCAGATGATCATCAATAAGTTCTGGTGAGTTTGGCTGTGAGATGCTTCCAGTGAATATCCTCCTGCAGCGTCGTCCCTCGTTTATTCCTAAAATGTTTTCAAATGTTTACCACAGCTCCGAGCCAGTAGGCAGCTCCCAGATTTGTAACATCTCCAGGATGCATGCTTGTCCGTCCTGGACCGAGCCCGATGTTGAACAGGCCCACCATGATCTGCAGCGTCTGCGAAAGATTCGGACGTATTCAGTCACGACAAGCTGCGCTTCAACAAGGCAACGTTTGAAATGTTCGATTCTTCTCACCCCCAAAGGAGCAAAGAGACCGTAACACATATTTCTGTTCTCTGAGCAACAGGCCGGACCGCAGCAGGGTTCTGACGGGGCGGCACGGTGGTGAGGCGGTCTTATCGTGTCACCTCTTAATCTGTAAGCACAGAGGAAACAGTTTAAAGTTTCAGGGCCAACAAACGACACACAAAACACTAATTAAAAGAAAGTACCGAGAGGCCTTCTGTGACGAGTTTAACGTTGTCGCTCTGAATATGCGTTGGGGATGACTCTTAGCTACTACCACGCCATGTTTTAGTGCATCTTCTCTACAAATGACTAACTTTTGTTTGCTATAAGGCCAATTATCGTTGGCAGCCATCTTGAATCAGGTTAAATGCACATCCAGTGAATGCTTTAAAACAAATAACCAAAAGTTTTAAAGCGTTACAATTATTTTAATCCCAAAAAATACAAGTATGGAGCGGCCAAAGCTGAACAAACACAATCTGGTGGAGGGATGAATTAACCTGGACCCTCCGAGGACAAATGGGGGTGTGAGTCAGGGACGAAATGAGCTCCTGCCAAGCGCTCGTTAAAATAAAAATGATTAAGATTTCAGACCTTTGGGCATCTAAGATGCATAAACGTTAAAGATCCAGAGCCGGTGAACAAATGTTTGTTGAACTGGGGGCACTGAGAGGCATCGTGTCGTGAAACTTCAACACCACTGGGACTTTCTGAAGCCCTCCGAACAACGAGAGGTGTTTGGCACGGCCTCAAATGACCGTCAATCACTTCATGGAAGACGGCTCGAAGAGAGCGCGTCGTTTCTTTGAACAGAAACAGGTTTGACTTCACTTTCAGGAACGTCAGCTTCTTGGACCGGAGTTGGTTCTGATGAACGGAGCTGCAGAACTGACAGAAACTGGTTTGTTGTTTTCATCCCCAGCAACGAGGAACTTGAACCGAACCCTCCTGCATTAAAACGACTTATTTAAAATCTGTCTTTTATAATTATGTCTACATTCACGGTTTATTTCCTCAAAATGTATTTTTCCGTCATGTTTTTAAATTGCTTTATGCTCTCAGATGAACTTAGACTTGTTTATTCTGTAATGTCACATCGACACATTAAACTTATACTTCAGACGAATAATGAGCAGATTATTATTAACAGTGACAAATGTTTCACTGCCAACTGAAGCGTTCATAATCTGTGAACGAGAGTCGATTTTAAACCAAGCGTCGTCACAAACAGGTTTTATCATGTGCAGGAAGGAGCTTAATATTCCCAGAACCACCTTCACTTCCACGACTTTATGGTTTACTTTTTTGTAAATAAATAAATTAACAAATGAAGCAGACAAATACATGTGACTTGTAAATGTTCAATACACTTCTAATAAAACAACAAAAAGTAGAACAAATGATAAACTAAACTAATTAAACTATTTGAATCACTCTGCAACAGAATAAAAAGCACAACTAAATGTTTGTCTGAGTTTAGAGCTTAAACAAACAAACAAACAAAATATCACATAAATGAAACATGAAGTTGTTTTTACAGCAAAAATTACCTGACAAGTTGCTTTAGAGTCCTGATGTTTGATCTGCCAGGAAAGAAATGAACGCCAATAAAACACACACACTTCCTGTCAAACCCTATCAAAATAAAACAATATTTACCAAAACGATGTTAGAATTCAAAAATCTTACTTCTCAACAACCTAGCTCCATCTGATGCTGCAGATCTTATTGTTGCACATTTTCCTAGCAGAGCACTTCGCTCTCAGACTGCAGGCTTACTCGTGGTTCCTAGAGTTTCCAAAAGCAGAATGAGAGGAAGATCTTTCAGTTCTCAGGCTCCTCTCTTGTGGAACCAACTTCCAGTTTCTGTCCATGAGGCTGACACATTGTCCAGTTTTAAGACTTTCATTCTTGATAAATCCTATAGTTAGGGTTGGCTTGGGTTTCCTCACTTATCCCTTAGTTATGCTGCTGACTGCTGGAGGACAAACTGACCTCATCTCCTCTCTCTGCTGCGGTCTTGACTTGCTCTACGTTACCTGCTTGCAATTATTTCTATCTTAACGTGCTTCTGTCTTAAGAAAGTTCACCTGGCCCTCTCATTCTGTGTTCGTCTGTTCCTCCTTCCTGTTCCTCTCAAATCCAGCCGGTCGAAGCAGATGCTGCTCATCCTGAGCCTTATTCTGCTGGAGGTTTGTTCTTGTTAAGTTTTTCCTTTCCACTGTCTCCTTTGTTCTTGCTCAGGATGGGAGACTATAACGAAGTGAAGATTCAACACAATCTGCTGCTTCCTCAGATAGAGAACTTTTAATAATTGTCTTTTTAATCTATGTTGAATTGAATTGAATTATGTGGACTAGTCCTGAGGACACTGTAAGTAAGAATAATCTTTCAGAGGTCTTTTGGACCCAGATTACATTTGGAATGAGTTATTCTCCTTTTCAGATCCTTCTCTGGGCCACCTGTATGTAATTTCGTCATTATCACATAAATAAGCTGCACTTGTCTTACATTACGAGCTTCAAGTCTGCAGTTCTCAGTTCCTCTACCTCTGGTGGAGTTCAGGTAAAAGTAAGAAATCAGAACCAACACTTCCTGTCAGATATTCCTTCAACATAAAAGCATGATAAAAAAAAAATAGAACTTGTTCGACACAAAGATTAGAATTAGTGGAATAAGTTAGATATTTTACTGCAGTGTTATCCAGACCTCTACATTGGAGAAACTAAACAGCCTCTTCACAGACGCATGACTCAACACAAGAGAGCCACCTCCTCTGGACAAGACTCAGCTGTTCACCTCCACCTCACAGATAAGGGACACTCTTTTGAGGACCAGAATGTGCACATTTTGGACCGAGAACACAGATGGTTTGAAAGGGGGGGTAAAGGAAGCAATTTATGTAAAAAGAGAAAAGCCGTCTCTTAACAGAGGAGGAGGCCTCAGATTTCCACTTTCAAAAACCTATAATGCAACTTTAAAACAGATTCCCAACCGGTTTTCACACCTGATGGGAACAGAGGGACCTCGTCTGTGAATTAGAGGAACAAAGACTTTAAGAAACCCCTACTGTTAAGGTGTTTAGGTGTTAATTGCCAATCTACATGTGTGTGTGTGTCTTATCTCACTCAGCCTTAAAACCTGAATCTCTCACTCTCTGCTCTTTGAATTGAGAAAGCTCCTCGGATGAGGAGCGAAACGTCTTCTGTTACAAATAAAGTCCAGTTGTTTTTGTGTTGAACGCTTTTTGAATATCCTTCAGTCCAAACAGTTTATACTGGCATCTAGTGGTCAAAACAGGTACTACACACAACATTTTACAATCATTACTAATTATTGTAACATTTTAACCAATATTTTTGTTTATTACAATAATTTTTGAGACAATTAATGGCCCAGCAAAATTTGTTATCGTGACAGGCCTATAGAACTTACCCGAAAAGTCCTGAAGTTTGACCCGACAGGAAGGAGTTTTATTTACTGAGCTGCATTAATTTTCACTCAGAGGACAAAATGAGGAGGAATTATTAATTTTAATTTTGAGATTTCAAGGGCTGTGAAAGACGGCAGTACAACTTTTTATTGTCAATATTACAAACTAATTAAAAAAACCTTTCCCCATTGTTGCACTGAGTAGCCTCAATAAAAAAAAAAATTTCAAATATTATTTATGAAACGTTGAAAACCAAAGTCTATACCAATAAAACATTTTAAACATCACAGGTCATCAGATTATGAAAGGTAAACTCAAAGTTCATTCATTTTATAAACTATCTACTAATTGTAGATGATAAACTCTAAAAAAAATAGTTTAGGTTTTGTTCAATAAATAATGATGCAGAGTTTATCTGAGGTTGCATTTTTCATATTTCATGCCTTTTGACTTAAAATACAAAATCATAGGAGGTTGTTCTCACTATTTAATTCACCATATCAGCAGGAACTGCTATAATATTGTTTAATAAACATAAATTTAACCTCCTTCAGTGTTTTATACAGATGTGAGCATCATGATGGAGCTCCACGCGTCTTTCTTCATCTCACCGACCAGAAATCTGATTCCCAAAACAGCAAAACGAACGCTGACAACCAGCAGCAGCAGAGCCAGGGTGATCAAAGTTTTGTCCATGGATGTCAGCAAATTCTGGTGGAAGCAACGTGAACATTAATTGACTTTAAAATAAACCAGAGGTTTCTCTGAGCAGCTGCGTCGCTGTGAATGCCCACCTGATCAAACAGGGCCACGTTTCTGCAGCTGTCGTCATGAGGAGCAGCATCGTACGGGAGACGGGCGCAGATCCAGAGCAGATCTGCGTCTCCCAGGTCGACGACGTACAGAGCGATGGCAGTGATGGAGAAGATGGCACCGACGATGTTCATGAACACAGTGAAGCCCATCTGAGAGGAAACGGTCAGTGCGTTTCAGCTGAGATTACAGAGCTGCTCTGTTTCAATAACAATGTTTTTACTCACCAAGCACGAAGACGGGAACTGGCCTGCCAAGATGGACATAATTCCAGTTACAATAAACTAATGGAATGGGAAAAAAGGAAGAAAACTTGTTAATCAAATGAAAAACTAGGGAAATAAAAAAAAATCAGTGTACATCTAACAATGTTAAGTCAGGTCCTCTGGACGGATTAAAGTATAAATAAAATTAAAAACTTGTCGAAATGTTTCGTCTTTTATCTAAAAGACGTCGTCAGTCTGAGGAGCTGCAACAAACTCAGTCTTATAAATAGCATCGCCAGTTTGCTGTTGACAGCCAGAACTAGCTGTTCACGTGATAAAGGAGGAGCAGCAGCCTAACGATTGATCGTTAGCGCCCTGATTGCTATTCACAGAGAGCTGAGTGATTCTAGCAATAACAGCATTGTAAGAGGCGAACAGTTGGACCCGGAGGCTCCGCCCCTGTTTCATGATGGACGGTTTCTTTTCACAAAGATGGCCTCCTTTACTCCTCTCTCAAACCATCGTTCCTCTCTGTCCAGGATGTGCACATCTTCATCCCTGAACAGTGACCACTGGCCTGGAGATGAGTGTAGCCCACAGAATCCTGGCCTGATGATGTTGATCTTCTGTGCTGGTCCATCCTTTTGGCCAGTGGCTGTTTAGTTTCCCCGATGTAAGACTGATCACAGCCCCCCTGACACTGAACAACATACACTGAGCATCAGGACAGCCAGTGTACATTCTTGGTATAATCCGCAGGGATTTTAAATTCTTGTTTGGATTTAATCTTTCAACTTCAGACGTTTTGCTTATAAATCAGCTGACCTTTACCCTGAGCAGTACTTCCTCTTGATTTATTTTGTAGAATATTTTTGGTAATTTCCTGTCAATGTCACAAATCTTTCCTCATAGTTTTTTTAGCCTTCTTTCTTATGCTTTAGGTTTTTGTATATTGTCTAAATACATCCCTTGACAATGCTGCTCGCTGAAAAAGAAAGCAATCAGTAACAATAAAAGTGCTTTTCTTGTTTGAAAGTTTCCTTTGACCTAAAAACACAAACTATGGGGTGCCGTTCAAAAATTAAAAGCAATATTTTTGGTTTATTTAGCCTTTCATAAGAAAAAATAACTTTTTTTGTCAAAGTTATATTTTCACCATGTTATTCATACATTTATAAATGTCATAGTTCCAAACTAAATATTTAATTTACAGGCTAAATAATTAAATACTCAACTTGCAAGTTAAATATTTATGTCCGACTTAAATATTTTGTTAGCAAATTAAGTATTTATTTTGAAAATTAAATGTTTAGTTTGGAAAATAAATATTTAGCTTTGAGATAAATATTTAGTTAGAAAAATTAAACATTTAGTTTAGGAATTAAACGTTTAGTTTGGAAATTAAATGTTTGGTTCAGAAATTAAATATTTAGCTTGGACAATAAATATTTACTTTAGAAATTAGATGTTTAGTTTTGAAAATAAATATTTAGCTTGGATATTAAACATTTATTGTACATCTAAATGTTTAAGTTACAAACTAAATATTTAACTTGCAAGTTAAATATTTAGTTTGTAACTTAAACATTTAGCTTGGATATAACATTTAGTTTGTAAATTAAATATTTAGTGTGGAACTAAATATTTAGCTTGTAAGTTATTATTGTAAAGTAAATATTTAGTTTATAAATTAAATATTTAGTTAGTGAACTTTGGCATTTATAAATGTATTAATAACATGGTGAAAATATGACTTTGAAAAAAAAACTTGTTTTTTCTTATGAAAGGCTAAATAAACCCAAATATTGTTAATTTTTGACTGTGTTACTTTACACATGGCGCCCCATAACAAACAGTCATTTGGTTTTTAGTTTACTTAAATAAACCTGTGTATAAGTTCAGACATATATGGCACAGAAAACTCAAAGAAAGTGTCTTCTAGATGTCTCCTCAGCAGCCGATGGATGAAGAAAAACAGAACATGCTTGTTTTACCACAGCGCCCAGCCAGTAGGCAGCTCCCAGGCTGCTAAAATCCCCGGGGCGTGTGCTCGTTCTTCCCGGCCCAAGTCCGATATTAAACAAACCCACCATGATCTGGACAGTCTGCAAAAACAAAACATCAAACCAAAGTCACGATGGTCTGAAAGCAGAGTGGAAGGTACACGTGTCTCCTCTAACTCCTCTCACCCCAACAGCTGCAGTCAAACAGGACTGGACCTCCTGCTGATGGGAAGAGCTGCAGCAGAGGGACTTGAGGATCTGGCTCAGAGGTGGAAACATGCTCCTACAGTCTTTGTTTTAAACGACAGGTGGATCTGCACGCACCTGAAGCCTCAGGTGAATGTTCCTCTTTGGGTTGAAGGTTGAAACTTTGTTTTGTAAGGTTGGTGTTTGTGGAGGAGAGGCATGCTCTGCAGGAATGTCCTAAAGTCTCAGCAGCAGCAGAGTAAACAGAGTCAGCAGCTCTGACCAACAAATCTATCAAACGCAAATATAGACGCATCAGAGCCACGGTGATTCAGGAACACGGTCGGTTTACACCCGTCGTCTTCTACCTGGAGGTTTACCTCTAGGTAATTGGTTATTGTGACTCAAAACGAACGGGGCTTTGAAAAAAATTTCATTAGAAAACAGCAAATATAAATATATCGGTTGCAACTCCTGCAAATTCAGCAGTTATGGAGATTTTGGAGCGCAGCTCAGATGCTTAAAATCTTAGCAGCAACCTTTCTGTGCTCGACTTTCTCGATTCAAAAATGAATACGGTTCTTCTGTTGAGCCTCGTCTTTACAGTTCTGAAGTCGTTTGGTAGAACTTTACCTTTTCTCTTTGACCTCTCTGACCCCATCTCCCTCGGACTCTGTAGACTTTTGGTATTGAATGGTGAGTGTTTTTATTTTAGTGGACACGTATACAAAACATTCAAATCAAAATCTTCATATGTTGACAGTTATTATGGCTGTAACAAAACAAGAGTACTGCACACGGCACATTAATCGCCCGTCCACAAACTTGAACAGCAATCTACAGCAACGGCCTTGTTTTAACTTTGACCTTGAATTGTGACCTTGATCTTGGAGCTGCGGTGATGAAAAGTGATGAGTCACGTGTGACGTTTTGTTACATTATCTTGAGCGGATCAGAACAAGACAGACATATAATTCATTCAGTCTTAATTCAGTGAATGAATAATGAATTTTTAATTCAATCAACGTCAAATAATACATCCCACCTTCAACGTGCACAAAGAACGAAATAACATCAAGAGCAGCAAAATGTAAAAAGACCAGCTGTTAAACTTTAAGGGGATGCTTTGCTTTACATGTAGCTTGAAGAATGTTCGATTAAAAATGCATAACTTAACTAAAATACGTTTTAATTCCTTTATTTAGAGTTTTATGGCAAATTGTTGTAAACCATCACTAACGTAAGAGAAACATCCCTCGTTTACCCAAATGGATTTAACAATTAAACATCCATCATCTTTACCCGCGTCATCCTTTTAGGTTCACGGGGCACAATCAAAACCACCCAGTCAAAGTGCACAGAAACTTTCAGTTCTGTGCAGAAAACAACTAAAAGTGCAGGAAGCTGTCCGGATGAATACGACAGTGAAGCGACAGTCGGTGGGAGAAACGTGCAGGAACAGTTTACGGTGAGTGGAAGATGTTTAGTCTGCAGAGTTGGTGGCGACATCATCCAGCAGTGCTTTGAACTGTTCCGGGTCACAGGAGCTCTAAAGGACAAACATCATGAGAGCAAGAACAACGCCAGCATAAAATGAAAGACGAACATCAGATATCACGAGAGGCAGGTTTAAACATGGACAAACTGGATTTCTACAGTAGGAACTTCTTTGGAACTTTGATTTTCTCCTGAAACCTTTAGTGCGCACTTCTTGTAAGTTTGTGCAAAGCTTGATCTGTGCTCAGAGCGGTCATTGGCTGAGTTTCTGTCCTCACCGAGACGTGCAGCTTCCATCAGAGCAAAGATTTCTGTTTTTTTTTGTGAGTGTTTTGACGGATTTCCCTGAGGATTTTTTACGAGTGATAAATAATCTTCAGAAAATCAACTCCAATGTTATTCTAAGCTTTTAACTTTATATTTCAAAACGGGTGGTTTGACACCGTCTTCCTTATTTTGATCAAGTTTGCATGAAAGTTCTGATCCTACTGTTGATACAGAAGTAGTTATTTATTATGACCACTAATTGACAGTAGCATCCTTTCCAGGGCTAATCGGAAGCTGGCAGTTAGGTAAGGCATAGCTATAGCTCAACTAGCACCCAGTGGGGAAGGATCTTTACCCAACAGCTCAAAACGGTCCACAGTCAGTTCTTTATTCGACAACACCGCCGGATATCAACAGGAGAATCTTTGTGCGAGTTCACATTCAGCTGAAGCTGAAGCTGGCCCACCCACTATTTACATTCCGGCATTGATCGGGTTACAAATTAAGCCCTGGCAACGGGCATCTGCAACACAAGCGTGCAATCTGTTGTTACGTCTGCCAGAGGTGGGACTATAACATCGCTGTTTTCAAAAGATTGTTCACACGAAAACGTAGAGATATCATTTTGAGACTTGTTCACTCTTGAACCCAGTTTCAAAACATAAAGTTTTGTGGGTCTTAACACATCGTGTTCATGTGACTGCATGGCTGAAACATTTAAAACATTTTGTGTTTCTATAAAACGTTGTTCCCGTTTGTACAGGGCGTGGGTTTTTAACAGGCAGCAGATACGTTTCTCCAGGCTTTACCTTGTTTTGTTCCTTGCCAGAGCTCTTTAGAGCTTTGATCCCCAAGACAACAGAGCTGATCACAACGCAGAGCTCCAGGGTGGACAAAACAATCAGCACACCATAGATGCTTCTCAGGAGCATCTGTCAGGAAAACAAACAAACAAACAAAAACAACAACAACAAAAAACAGTTACACCTTTAACTGTAAAACCAAACATTATTTATCATGTCTCAGAATCACATTGTTTTCTGTAATGAATCTAAGAAATTCCTACAAGCATAAAAAGTATTCAATTGGTTGCAGTTCGCACCTTGTGCCACTAGGCGTCACTAAATCCAACATTAAGGTTTTAAAACTTTTACTGGTTGTTAACTAATACAAGTAAGTAAGTAAACTTTATTTATATAGCACTTATCATAGATACAATCACAAAGTGCTGTACAACAATAAAGAAATAAAGGCTTAAAATAAAACAAAAAATAACAGCTCATTAATAAAAACAGTAAAAACAGCTGGTAAAAACAGTAAAACATTTAACTAAAAGTTGTCGAAATAAAAATGTCTTAAGCTGCGTTTTAAAAGAATCAACAGAGACGTTCACACGGAGAGACAGGGGCAGGGCATTCCACAGGCGGGGGCTACAGCCTGAAAGGACAGGTCACCCCGAGTTTTAAACCGGGTCTTAGGAACCTTAAGAAGGTTCAGCGCTGAAGACCGAAGGGAGAATAAGGAATCAACATTTCAGTGATGTACTGGGGGGCCTGTCCATTTAAAGCTCTAAAAGTCAAAACTAAGATTTTAAAATTAATTCTAAATTCAACAGGCAGCCAATGAAGAGAAGATAAAACTGGTGTAATGTGAGCCCTTCTGTTAGTTCCTGTTAAAAGCCTTGCAGCAGCGTTCTGGACCAACTGGAGACGAGCGACGGCAGTTTTGTTAAAACAAGTAAAAAGGGAATTACAATAATCTAAACGAGAAGAAATAAAAGCATGAATAATCATCTCCAGGTCAGATCTGGATAACATTGCCCTCAGTTTAGAAATGTATCTCAGATGATAAAAGCAGTTTTTTACCAGAAGCTTTGAATGTTTGTCCAAAGACATGGACTGGTCGAACAGAACACCGAGGTTTCTGAGGTTCGGCTGAGAAGAGGAGCCCAGAGAACCGAGGTGTTGTTTGATCCAAGTAACTTTCTGTTCAGGGGGAATGATCAGGGTTTCCGTCTTGTTAGAATTTAACTGAAGGCAGTTGTTAGCTAACCACGCCTTAATATGGGAAACACAGTTTACTAATTCAGCTAACTTGTGTAATTCTGAGTCATAAAAGGAACAGTACAGTTGAATATCATCAGCATAGAGATGGTAAGACACATTTCTGAAGCTACTGATAATCTTTCCCAGGGGGGTGATGTATAGAAGGAACAGAATAGGACCCAACACTGAACCCTGAGGAACACCATTCAGTAATGGAGTGGTCTTAGACTGTATGTTATTAACAAACATTGAAAAGGTTCTGTTGCTCAGATAAGAGGAAAACCACTTAAGAACAGTTCCAGAAAATCCCATCTCATGTTGCAGTCGATGTATCATAATTTTGTGGTCGACTGTGTCAAAAGCTGATGACAGATCCAAAAAAATCAAAACACTGCCCTGACCAGAGTCTGCAGCCATCAATATGTCATTGGAGACTTTTAATAAGGCAGTTTCGGGGGAGTGCATCTTGCGGAAACCAGATTGAAACTGATCAAGAATATTATTATTTTGCAAGAAAGTAGTCATCTGCCCAGCCACTAACTGCTCCAGAATTTTGGTGAGAAAAGGCAGTTTTGAATTACTGCTTTGATGCACCAACATTATAAAATTACTCAGCTAAATTAATTCGGCTACGCTTAGTTTGAATCAAAAGATTCAATCAAACATGAAAAATCTATACTTTTTAGAAGATGACACAAAATCTGAAGCTGAATGACATTTAGTGGAGCTTTTAAACCGTTCCTGTGAAAGAGCTGAAACGTTCTGACTTTTGGAATCTTACCATAATCAGGTTTTTGGCAGCCAAGCATTTCTCCCTAAAGTACTCGTCTTCACGAGATGGACTTGGCGTTGTATAAGACCAGTAGCTCCTATTGTCACAATCATACCACCACAGATTTATATTTGCAACACTGATGCTGTATAAAACAATGGCCGTGATGGCAAAGGCCTCTCCAGCCAAATTCAGAATCACGTTGAAGATGACCTGAAAGATAAAGTTAGTCTCTTTATGTGCAAGCAAACAAACCATCACAAGAAACAAACAAAATAAGAAACACAAAGTATGTTAAAACAACAACTGGTTCCTATTCCACATTTGAGAAAGTCTGTGGACCTATCAGAGGGACCCGGCTGAATAAACACTGTGTCATCATTTCAGGACTCTTGGATTCTCTCTGGCGCTGTCCCTGGTCGACCTTGGCACCCTTGAGAGTGTTTACGGGTCTCACCAGATGGAACTGGCTGATCATACTATTCTTATCAGAACTCCTACAGCGCCGCTGGAGTGTCCTTGGACACGCTCACCGCCCTTGTCGTCTCCCCTCCCCTGCAGAATGTCTGTGTCACTATGTGCGTGATGTTTTTTTCAATTTCAGGCTATCTGTTCTCGGCCAAGGAATGAGAGTCCGTTAGGATTTATTTATTTTTGCCTCCAAATCCTATACATTCTCATTAATTTTTTGTCTGTCTAAACAGGTTTCACTTGTAAACGAGTCCCCGAGGCTCAATGTCATTAATCTGTCTAAATAAAGGTTGAATGAAAAAAAATCTAAACAATAAAAAGGTTGGGTGAATGGTCAAAATATTAACTATATTCTGATGTTTCATATAAAACACACATGGAAAACCTTGTTTATGACCACAGATTTAAATTTCCCAACTTTCTGCATTAAATAAAGTTATAAAGTTTAACTCACCATGCATGGGCTTGGATACCTCTCAGACAAAATGCACGTGATGCCAAACACAATGAACTAAACAAAAGAGGAAACTATAGTCAATTTTATTATTGAACACAAACACTAAATACATTTTTATAAACGTTATGAAACAGTTTAAAATTAGCTGCTACCCTGTGAGCAGTTTGGGGTTTTTAAATGTTGTTGATGATGATTTAATGCAGTCCCATTCAACAAGAGGTCGGCGGGCTGAAAAGGGCCCATTTTCAACTTTTCTTTGGCCCAACAAAAAGCTAATATCCCAAACTGAACTATATACCAGGATCCAACATTTTTCAGTCAGGTCATCTGGACAGTTTCTTTTTTTGTGCTGAAACGTTTCGCCTTTGATCCAGAAGGCTTCATCAGTCAAGGAAACACAATAAAACTGATTCTTCTCCCAACAGTTTACTCCAAAGTGGAACAAACCAGTTCTGCTTGTGATTAGATGGTCTCTTTGGTACGCCCCCTCCTCCATTGTCGGCCATCTTCCTTGTTGACAGTCTTGTCAAACTGGTTGAAAACAACAAAGTCCATGCTCAATAATCCAGGTATAAGATCCAACATTTTTCAGTCAGGTCATCTGACAGTTTCTTTTTTTCACATTCGATCCAGAAGGCTTCATCAGTCGAGGAAACGCACAACAAAACTGATTCTTCTCCCAACAGCTTACTCCAAAGTGGAACAAACCAGTTCTGCTGGTGACTGTTGTTTTCAACCAGTTTGACAAGACTGTCAACAAGGAAGAGGGCCGGCAATGGAGGAGGGGCGTACCAAAGAGACCATCTAATCACATTATATGTATTTCAACAGCCTGTTTGACACTTCTAACTCTCCAGGCCATTTGTTCTTCAACTAATCAATTAAACAAACAATCAAACAAAATTGTTTAAAATTTTATCACAATTGAAAATAATGTTTTTCATCCACTTTGTGTATTTTATAGTGTTCATGGTTACTTACCAGTGCTCCCAGCCAATAAGGAAGCCCAATCCCGTAGATGCTATATGTTGAATAAGTCAGGTGGAGGATGACGCCGAGGCCGATGTTGAGCAGCCCGATGATGATCTGCAGAGCCTGGGAAAGAGAAACATCTGCTCAAACATCTGTGCTGTTACTGTCAAACTGTGCTGAATGTCAAAGTTACAGATCTTTATTTATAGAACGAAACAGCTTCAAACAGGAAACACTAAGACGAATCAAAAATAGATTTTTATTAAAATGTGACTATAATGTTATGAACACAGGCACGATTTACTTTTAGCGTCCATCATAAATACGGAGATTTTAATCACAAATAAAAACAACAGAGCATGTTAGAATGAAACTAATGGTCGTTTCTCACCCCGAGTACAGACAGAGTAGTTCTTTGGATCCTCCTCAGGTGCTGAGACACCGAGCAGCACACTGGGCTGTAGCAAAGGCTCTTCAGAACCTGACACAGAGGAGGCCAGCGACTTTTCGTGTCCGTGGTCAGCGTGAACACGGTGATGCCGTCTACCTTGCTCATAGTCACAGACATCCTTCCTGCTGCTGGAAGCGGACAACAGAGTATTTAAAGAGTTTAAACGTGTTGGATTTGATTAAAGTCGCAGCTGTACAAAATTGTCAGAACCCAAACTTTGCGCATCACACAGGTGGATCCAGGGATGGAGCCGAAGGATTCGGCTGGCTCCAGATGAGCCCCGATCTATCTAACTTCACCGATGAGCAAAAGTTACTTCCTTCTAACATTTCTTACAACTCCTATGCTTGGTTGGTTTGGGGGGGAAATAAAAAAGCATACCAATAAAACATGAACATGACTCATAAACCAAAACAAGCCACTTTACAGATCTGGCTGTTTACCTGATCCTCATGTGGCCATTTTGAGGGACTTAAGTCGTCAACAAAGTAATCTCAAGCAGTACAAAACGACTTCAATGGGGAACAACTTGCTCCTTTGACAACAGGAATTCAACTAAAGGTGAAAATGGTAAACAAACTCTTAGTTTCTATTTTTTCTATCTGCCTAAAAGCATCCAGAGAGGAGGAAGGAGGACATAAACGCCTGCAGGATGTACAACCTGTTACTAAAGCTGCACTGGTCTTCTTTCTAAGGACAATGTGAAGATTTTAATGTCGGCTCTCCTTCATTGCAGGCAAATATTTCATGTAATTCACTCGTATTAAGAAAATATTATGTTCTGAGAGTGGTGGGGCAGCGGTTAGGGAACATGGGCCCGTGATCAAAAGGTCGCCGGTCAAATTCCCCAGACAGACAACATCAAAATGTGGGTGGGAAAGGTGAAACAACCACACCTGTCTCCACTCTCCTTTGCCCCACTCTGAGCCCTTGAGCAAGGCCCCCAACCCCCATCATTTGCTTCCCTGGGCTCCCTAGATGTCAACTCTCTGCTCCACACAGAGGGCTGTGGTAGCTCGGTGGCTTGTGGTGCGTCAGGAAGGACATCTGGTGTAAAAATAACTGCCAATCTTCATGTGAGTTACTTCACTGTGGCCACCCCTGAAGATGGGAGCAGCCAAAAAAATAAATAAACAAATAAATTAATTAATTAACTATTATCTCAGATTGAAATGTTGGTTTTACTGTTTGTAATTAATTATTTTTGATTGTTTTTATTGTTTGCTGTTTATATGATTTTAACAGTTCATTACTTTTACGGTTTCAATTGATTTGATAGATTTCATGCTTGCGTTTGTGTTTTTATTTACAGCACTTTGGCCAACAGTGTCGTTTTTAAGTCGGTGCTTTATAAATAAAGTTGTGTGTGCATACACGCACGCACACACGCACAAACAATAGTGTTCCATGTGTCATGGATGTTAAATTGTTGAAATATATTAATTATATTTTCCAGGCTCAGCCATGTTTAAAAACTGTTGTAGCTCTGTACATATGATGTGAAAGGCATTTTACTGCTGGCTGGGTCACAAAATGTATTTTATTTATATTAAAGTCAGGTCAAATTTATCCAGGCTTACACTCCATTTGTGTTTTAGAAAAGTTCTTAGTGTTTTATCGTACTTTAACTAATTTATTTTACGTTTAAACAATAATATATCTAATCTGGTGCTTCATTTTAATATTTGTACTCTATTTTATTTGGGTTTTGCCATCTGCATCACCACCATTTTCAAAAAACTCGAATTTTTGCACAAACCTGGCCTTAACATCTGGATGAAGTTGATAAAAGCAATCACAAGACATAGTTGTAGATAACCCCTTATAAATAATGTTTACTTAAAATATATATTATAGCTGATATGAAACTTTAGGCATTTTCAACCATACTTACGAGTTAGTCCCTCAAAATGGCCGCTGCCTAGCCGGAAGCCAACGTCAGAGCTAAGCAGGAAACAGTTTGTTGTTGCTTTATACTTTATTTACGTTAAAAAAAAAAAGTATAGAAACTGCAAATATTCATGTTTTACTTGGCCCTGTTGTCACTTTTGACAGATTCCCGGTTCCATCCGTGACTTTTGCGCGCTCCGTTTACAGAAGCGCTCCAGCCTTTTCAAAATAGAACTTCCGTGTTCCACAGGATGTTCTAAAATGTGGTTGTAGCGTGAGGATTCGTTGAGTGGTGATTCGATCACTCCAGATTTAAATATGAGCAGGATGCAAACAGGTAATTCTATTAATAACCGAGCGCCACTGTTTAGATACTTCACAACACTTCCTGGTCTTGAAATATCCTGATGCATGCTCAATAATCCAGGTAGAAAAATCTAAAAAAGTTAAATCTGGTCCTCTGGACATGGCCAGAGGACCAGATTTAACTTTTTTAGATTCCTGGTCTTGACCTCACATGACCTGATCCAACCAATCAGAAGCTAGAAGTTTGTTAAGTACAAGAAGTGAAGCACAAAGGCAGGTTCGGTTGCTTATTCCTGACACTTTTAACTCTGCTGTGGAACATATTTTAAACATGTCAATAATTATTCTGATCATAAATGTAAGCAATGACCACTGGGAATTTATTTTATACGAATGCACCCAAAATATATGGATTACCCTCTGTTGTAAACCTTCTGTGGGAAAACGACACCGAAGCAGGACAGAAATACAAAACATATGGAGCATGTCCTCTGAGGACTACGAGTTCACATTTTATAACATTTTTGTACTATTCTTGTAACGTTAACATTTTTCCTTAAGTGTAAACCTATAAAATATCTAATTCTTACATCATGAACTCTGTGTTTATGGTTATTTGTTTTTAACGCTTTTGTTTACTTTTATAGATATTTGCCAACTCCCCAGTTGTTCTCTGACTCGTAATGTGAACCTGAGACATTTAACCCAGTTCTGTCCACCAGCTCTAACCCCAACTATGAAACAAAGACACTGACATTTTTGGGGTACAAAACGGTAAGATGCATATTGTACCTGCCAACTTTAGAGTGAAGGGTAAAACCTCAGAGTTTAAAGTTTCCGCTGCCGCTTGTGCTGTGACAAAAACAATCCTCGCTGGATGAATACACTTCAAAAATGCATGTCTACTTTAATATTTAAAAAAACTTTTGACCTTGGGTCTCAAGAAAATGAGCTCAAAATAATCAGTTGATATACAGAGTATTTTAAAAAGGCCAACATCCTGCAACGTCTTTGAACTTTCTAGATTCGTCAAACAAACGTCATGAGTTTACTTGAGCAGGCAAACACAGCCAGATATGTAACGTTAAACAGAATCAGAGATAAAGACTGACCTGCTGGGGTCCAAGTGAAATCTGATCGACACAAAGACACCAAGAGAGAAGTTAATCTTCTGTTTGCTGAGCAGATCTTGTTTGTGTCAACGGCAGAGGAGTGTGGGTGTTTCAAGCCTGTTCCCAGAAGTTCCTCCTCTCTCTCAGACTCTGTTACAGGAACTTAACCCTGTGCTGAATCAACTCTCCACACAGAAAAACTGCCATTTTACAGCACAAACCTATTCAAGATAACAAGCAGGGAGGGGGAAATGTCAACGAAGAAGAAATAAATCAGTCACGGGAAGATTTTAGCCTTTTATTAGGATTTAGCATCACACTTTGTGGGTTTTGTTAGTGTTTAGGTTTTAAATGAATTAACGTCATATTCTGTTCTTAGTCTGGGTTTTCGTGGATTTTTCAGTGAAGTTCTTGTTTCGAGTTCATTGTTCTCTATTTTTCCAGCTTCACTTCCTGGTTTGTTTCATGGAGGTGCCTTCCCTTGTTGTGCAATATCTTTTTTTTTTATTCCTGTTGTGAGTGAGTTACTTTATAATTAAACAGAAGACTGAAGAACTGACAGCTGGAGAGAGTTTCTATAGATAAATCTAGTTTCACGCGGTTTAAACCGTCTTGTGGTGTGGAATGTCCTGACAGTCGTATTTATTAGTAATCTCTGAGGCAGACGTAGACAAAACAGCCGTTTCTGAGACGAACGTTGTCCTCACAGGAGTGTTAGGTGTTCAGACTCTAAGCTAAGTTCCTCTGGAATAAAGCTTTAACTTGTTCAAATTAAATAAAGTTTTCATTTGTATGTTTTTTTTAATCTGCATTCCTTTTGTGTCAGTCCTGCCATGACAATAATGCTGTCATTTTTTTATTTTGATCACTCTATAATTGCATAAATTTGCTTTATTAACCGTTATTTGTTCGCACCACCCACCTGCTTGATGCTTTTGCACACACACACTCACACGTTCTGTGTGTTTCATATTAGATTGATCTTTGTATGATTTCAATAAAAGCTATTTTGAGTGGAAATTTGATCATCTAAAAGCCTAAAAACGATCAAATCAATCAAAACTCTACGTTAAGAACCCACAGAATGAACTTGTTTCGCACGTCCGTTGTTGTGTTTCCTCAACCGTTGTGCACAAAGTGAGTAATCGTGTGTGAACCTGCTGAAGAAGCTGAAGAGTTGCAGGACATTCGGAGAATCTGATCAACTTCTGCTTTCTTGCTTTCTTTCTTCTTGCAGGAAGAAATCCATGAGAGTAAATCTGAGGCAGAGCTCGGTGCCTAAAGAGTTGAAACCTGTACAGTTTCAGAACCAACCAGCATGATTTATTGCCCAAGCTGCATTCTTACTGGCGTTCCTTGAAATAATGCATTTGACTTTCTGTAGGGTGTCAAGGATCACTGTCGGCTACTACCACACCAAATTGTAGCTCGATTGTTGTGAAATTGACCGAGTTAGGCGTTTTTATATTTGTAGATGGTGCTTAGCTGTGGCAGCCATGCTGAGCAGGGTTGACTTCAAACATTTAAACAGTTTCGATCCGTCCATTTAATCGTTTCTTCCTGAAAGTTTCATTCAGTTTGTGCAGAGCTTCATGAGATGTTGAGCTGCCGTCACAAACACTCACACCGGCCTCGGCTTATTCTGAATTTATTAGGATTTAAAGCTGTGCGTTCCAGTGGAATGAATCGCTTCATAATGTGAACGTTATAAATCTGATCTCCCCTTCAGTTTCAAACTTTTAAAATCTGCTCAACGTTCTCTGGTTTCTGACAAATAAGTTTGGATGGTTTTAGAAAAATAATAAGAAGCAACAAAAAAAAAGGTGTTTAAAAATGAAAATTTCCGGTGACAATTAAGCAAAGCTCGACCATATTTAGGAAAAAAAGTTGCTTCTTTTGGAAAATAAAACTTTTTTCAAGTGAGGAAGGTCCTGATAGATGAATAAATGTGATCTTTCTGCCTGATGGACCTCCATCCAGCTGCTTGTTGTTGATTTCACGTCTGTTGACTTTGGCAGCTGCTGAGACCGAAGAACATTCCTGCACGACTCCTTCACTGTTTACATGAACACCTTTACGATAAAGTTAATGATCAAAAACATCTAAGTTTAGTCCTACAGCTACATCAGGTTCAAACGGGCCTGTTCACTAAAAAAAGTTCAATCTATGAAGACATTTAAGCCAAACTCAAATAACACTTGACAGAAATCACATCAGATTTGATTCAAGACCCACCAGATGTTTTATTAGACCCTTTAAACGTATTAATCGAATATTTGGTCTGTCTTTTTGTGTTATTAAGCATGCTTTTAATTTGAAATAACGGCGACAGGAACTCTCCTTTCTGCTACCTGAACTGATGGAAAAGCAAACTGTCAGATTTACAGACCCGAGCTGACTCACTCACCAGGTAAGCTCTCTGCTATGAAAACACCTTGATAATTATTCATATTAATTAACTTCATTATTGTGTTTCTCTGTAAAGTATGCCACGTAGAAGTGACATGCTTTAAATATTTTACAGAAGATGTTAAAACTAAAGTAATTTAAAAGTTCATTTTTATTTTTAATTGCTGTGTTAGTGCTATGATTTCTATTAGGATTACTAAATATCTTGGCCCATCTCTCTACCAATCTACAACCACAGTTCTGACATTTGTGACATCATGTAAAATGTAAATATAAACTGCAATGATCTGCAAATATCACTCAGACCCATATTTTATTCACACTGGAACTTTGTAAAAGGATCAAACGTTGAAATTAAGAAATGGTATCTTTAATAAGAACATTTTTTTAATTTTACGGCAGCAACACATCTCAAAAATGTTGTTGCAGGATCATAGTCTGTAAACAGAGACTGGAAGTTTTCAGAAGGAATGTCCCATTCTGGTTCCATGGAGGACTTTAGATGTTCAACAGTCCTGACGCTTCTTCTTCACGAGACTTCTTACTGGATGGGAGCAGATGTTGTTCTAAAGACTGGATATAAGGAGTGGAGTAGGAGAAGGCCCTTTTACCTAATTCAGTCTGCATTGAGGGTACGCTGCATGTAATAATGTCCCGAGAGTGCACACTGTAGCTGCACTGACGAAATGACATGTAGGAGGAGATGTTTGAAGGCAGCAGACCAAGAAGTGATTTAAAGATTCAAATGTACCAGTGAGAGAGTCTGTGTGAAGTTAATGATGACCAGTTAACCAGTGAATACTGGGTGCAATGACAAACATTGACAAACTCAATAGGAACACCAAGATAGAAGGAAGGACTGCTGGTACCAACTTCCTGTTTGAAAACAACATCCCTTTGGTTTTATCAGCCTTTAGCACCAGTTTGAGACAGAACAAATCTGACTGGATGATGTCGAAAGCAGACTGTAAATGCTGGAAAACCTTAGCAATAAACAACTGTGTAGTCAGCATAGAAATGTAGGGCTGATCTGACCTACATTACTCATGTAGATTGTGAAGAGGGTGGGACCTAACACTGAACCTTGTGGTACACCATTTTTGACAGTTAAATAACTGGAAGAAGTACCATCATGTTGAACACATTGCCTTCAATCTGAGAGATAATTAGAAAACCAACGGATAGTGTGATCTGAGAAACCAATGTCTGAGAGCTTATGGCATAAAACTGAACTTTATTAAAAACTAATAGAAAGGCTGAGCTGAGGGACTGATGAGTGGAGTGGCTGCAGCTGTGGCGGCTGCCTGGAAAAACACGGATGGATTTGAAAATCATTGCATTCTGTTTTGATTCACCATTTATACGTCACAACCTCGTGGTTGTAAGTCGTCTTCCTTTGGTTACAAATTGCAGGTTTTACAGATGCCCCTCTGTGTTGATGAAGACAAGGGAGTGACAGTGGTCACCATGGCGACTGATGACTTGTCATCGTGGTGTGAAACCCTCAGAGATTGTTGCTCCGGTCCGACCTGCTGGTCTGTGAACAGAGAACTGATGCGGAGCAGCGTAGTCGGGGCTCTTGGGGTGAGAGAGATTTTTATAATTTAATAAGTAGCATTAAAAAAAGTTGAACCACGTTGTGATTTAATTTTTGTGATTTTTCACAGACGGTGCAGATCCTGGTCGGTGTGTTCAACATTGGACTTGGTCCACAAAGACCAGAAGCGTACCCTTTCTGGCTCGGTGTTTTGGTAAAATAAATTAAATAAATCAGAGCAGTTCTGTCTCTAAACTGATTCCATCAGTTTTCTCTGCCTTTGTTACGTTTTTTTAAAAAGAGCACAATACAACAAAAACAAAGCCAGGATGCTGGGGTCGGTGTATGAGAACACTGTAAGGAACTTAAAAGGTCTTCTTGTATTTCCTCTGGGATTTTTATTTTCTGTAAAAAATTTAAATATTTGAAAAATTTGGAAAGTTACAGATACAACAAACATACTATTCTGAAACGGTCCAAACATTTTAACATCTTCATCTTCTACGGCTTAACCATAGTCTGGTCAGATGGGCAACAGGTCCAGGAGGGAAACCCAGAACCCCCCTCTGAAGCTCCACCTGGGGGCTCTCAAGGCGTGCCCCAACCTGGAATCCCTCCAGAGTGTTCTGGGTCTACCCAGGACCTCTCCACAGTGGGAGGTGATGGAAAACCTCCAAAGGGAGGCGTTCAGGAGGCGCCTGAACCACCTCATCTGACTCCTCTTGACAGGAAGTGGTGGCGCTCCCCACGGATGACGGAACCCCTGACCCTGGTTCACGCTGCCACAGTTTGATACAGCCAGGGACCCTGCCTCACCCGCCGCCTGGTTTACATCTCACCCAACCTTAAGGTGGCATTCTGTCCGACTTTTGGACTCGACCCACCCGAGACCCAAGAGCCAAGGCTGGGGCAGCAGGCACTCGCTGGCAACCCCCGGCCTGACTCCAGGGTCGGTGCTCCAGTTTCTCGATGCTCTTTAAGGTTTTTGAACCGTTCTTGGTCTGAGCCCTCCACTAAAGCCCGATTGCCATGAACAACCCTACAAGGGACTGATGCCACAGACAGCAACCCCCCCAGGATCACAGGGGGGTACAAAACCTGTGACTCAGTGCAAATCACCACCTGAACCAATCAAAACATGTTTTAATGTCTGAATGGTTGAAGTATATCATGAAGCTGTTT